AACATCAGAAGGACATGGAGCTGTTGGAGAGGAGCCAGAGGAGGCCATGGAGATGCTGGGAGGGCTGGAGCCCCTCTGCTGGGAGGGGGGGCTGAGAGAGTTTGGGGGTTCAGCCTGGAGAAGAGAAGGCTCCGGGGAGACCTCAGAGCCCCTTCCAGTCCCTCAAGGGGCTCCAGGAGAGATGGGGAGGGACTCTGGATCAGGGAGGAGAGCCCTAGGAGGAGGGGGAAGGGTTTGACCCTGCAAGAGGGGAGATGGAGCTGAGCTGTGGGGAAGAACTTGTTTGGTGTGAGGGTGGTGAGAGCCTGGCCCAGGTTGCCCCGAGAAGCTGTGGCTGCCCCATCCCTGGAGGGGTTCAAGGGCAGGTTGGAGGGGGCTTGGAGCAACCTGGTGTGGTGGGAGGTGTCCCTGCCCAGGGCAGGGGGGTTGGAACTCGATCCTGAATGTCCCTTCCAGCTCTAACCATTCTGTGATTCTTTGATTTCTGTATCACCTAAAGATGGAGGTGTTAGACTTCTCGTTTAAGCGAAGGTTATAACCCTTGATCCTTTCTCCACTTGTGTTGTTTTTGTCTGTTTTATTTCCAAGCAGTGAAAGGGCCACCTCTTCAGTGATTGTCTCATGCACAAAGCTCTGCCTGATAAAAGGGATGGTAAAGCTGCAGTCTAAAAGCAGTATTTTCAGATGTGTGGCAGATCTGAACCATGGTTGGGGCCTGGTGTAATTGTAAAGAAGATGGAACGGAGTGGAGTGGAGTGGAGTGGAGTGGAATGGAATAGAATAGAATAGAATAGAATAGAATAGAATAGAATAGAATAGAATAGAATAGAATAGAATAGAATAGAATAGAATAGAATTAGAATAGAATATTGCAGGTGGAGTATTTATCATGAGTCCAAGTTCTGCTAAACCAGGCTGGTGGAAGGTCTGAGTGTCTCAGCCCTTTGGGAGAGGAATCACTCTTGGGTGCTTGGGGTGTCCATACAGGTCTGGGGAGAGGGGGGAGGTTGTAGCATCAATAAAAACCCTTGTTTTGAGACTCCACCTCCCTCTGGAGCTCAGGGGTTTCAGCTGCAGTTCAGGAGAATTACTGGTGGTTCCTGCAATGGCCTGAAGATCTTCCTGAGAGATTCACTGATCGTACGAACAGTTTCAAAAAAGAGGGAGTTTTGACATCTCTATATTTCACTGAAATTTAGTCCTCAGCATCAGACGTTTGCCTGATAATGTCAGTATCATGTTGCACCTAAGTTGGTTCAAAGGGCATGGATGCCCACCAAAACTTACTCCTTCTGGACTGGGTGTAGAGAAATCTGTAACTGAAGCTCAGTTGATCCCTTTAATCCCTGTTCGCTGCTGCATCCACGAGCCCTTCTCCTGACCCCGGCACAGTGGTTGAGTTATCAAGAAAACCCTCATGTTGTCAGCCTTGGTCTCTTTGCTGATCTCTGGGAGGAGAATGCCATGTTCTGCAGGGGTCCACCAAGCTGGGCAGCAAGCACCAGCAGCATGTTGAGATATTCCCCGTACCATGTATGGCCTGAAAAGCAAAAGGCTGGGTTGTTTGGCATGAAGAAAGAGTAGGAAGAGATGGTGATTGATGGGTGCCGGTTCCTCCATCTGCGTCGGGGAGCCAGGAACAGCAAACCTGAGCTTAGGTCTGGAAAGGGAGAAGGGAACTGCATGACTGTATTTCCTAGTGATTTAAAGAAAAAGGCGATGTTCTTAGATGAACTGGGTGGCTGGTTTTCGAAACAGAAACGTGGGGCACAATAGCTTGAGAAAAGACTGCTCTTCCAAAGCAGAGCCGTATTTTTTTGTCCCCTTGCTGGTCATTAGTGGTGCTTCTGAAGACCAGCCCTTGGCGGAGGAAGTCATGCTGGAGCACAATGAGCTGGTGACGATTTTAAGCTTCCCCCAGCATGTAGTAACTCCGAGTAATTGGTAGGTACACGCGCTTCAAGGACAATGACATTTTTGCTCCTTTGCCTGCGTAAATCACAGCATTTTGTGCAGCCAAACGCGCGCTGGAATGCACAGCACTAGCACAGGAACCTTAGTAGCTGTGGTGTGCTCCTAAAACTTAATATACAGCAGATTTCATAGAGTCATGGAATGGTTTGGGTTGGAAGGGACCTTAAAGATCATCTCATCCCACCTCCCCTGCCCTGGGCAGGGACACCTCCCACCACACCAGGTTGCTCCAAGCCCCCTCCAACCTGCCCTTGAACCCCTCCAGGGATGGGGCAGCCACAGCTTCTCGGGGCAACCTGGGCCAGGCTCTCACCACCCTCACACCAAACAAGTTCTTCCCCACAGCTCAGCTCCATCTCCCCTCTTGCAGGGTCAAACCCTTCCCCCTCCTCCTAGGGCTCCCCTCCCTCATCCAGAGTCCCTCCCCATCTCTCCTGGAGCCCCTTGAGGGACTGGAAGGGGCTCTGAGGTCTCCTCCGGAGCCTTCTCTTCTCCAGGCTGAACCCCCCCAACTCTCTCAGCCCCCCCTCCCAGCAGAGGGGCTCCAGCCCCCCCAGCATCTCCATGGCCTCCTCTGGAGCTCCAACAGCTCCATGTCCTTCTGCTGTTGGTGGCCCCAGAGCTGGAGGCAGCACTTGGGTGGGGGGGTGTCTCCCCAGAGCAGAGCAGAGGGGCAGAGTCCCCTGCAGTGAAAGGGCCACCTCTTCAGTGATTGTCTCATGCACAAAGCTCTGCCTGATAAAAGGGATGGTAAAGCTGCAGTCTAAAAGCAGTATTTTCAGATGTGTGGCAGATCTGAACCATGGTTGGGGCCTGGTGTAATTGTAAAGAAGATGGAACGGAGTGGAGTGGAGTGGAGTGGAGTGGAATGGAATAGAATAGAATAGAATAGAATAGAATAGAATAGAATAGAATAGAATAGAATAGAATAGAATAGAATAGAATAGAATAGAATTAGAATAGAATATTGCAGGTGGAGTATTTATCATGAGTCCAAGTTCTGCTAAACCAGGCTGGTGGAAGGTCTGAGTGTCTCAGCCCTTTGGGAGAGGAATCACTCTTGGGTGCTTGGGGTGTCCATACAGGTCTGGGGAGAGGGGGGAGGTTGTAGCATCAATAAAAACCCTTGTTTTGAGACTCCACCTCCCTCTGGAGCTCAGGGGTTTCAGCTGCAGTTCAGGAGAATTACTGGTGGTTCCTGCAATGGCCTGAAGATCTTCCTGAGAGATTCACTGATCGTACGAACAGTTTCAAAAAAGAGGGAGTTTTGACATCTCTATATTTCACTGAAATTTAGTCCTCAGCATCAGACGTTTGCCTGATAATGTCAGTATCATGTTGCACCTGAAGGGAGCTCACCCTCTTACAACAGATGCCATTTTGTCCTAAATATGAGATTTTTTGTCCCTCGTGCATGAACCTGTTATGTCTCTTCCTCGAAAAATTCTAGATATTAAATGTGCCCCCACGGGAGGGTAAATGCTGAAAAAAACAGTATGTATGGAAGGGCTCTAAATGAAATAAGATTATTTTTGAGAGTTTTTTCATAGGCTCTTACCCAAGGTGTTCTAAATTCAGCTGAATTTCTGAGTCATGCAATACTGACATTAGCAAAGGCAGGTCCTGGGGAGAAGGTGGACACCTGATTTTTTCTGGAAATGGGGAGATCTGCGTTGGCATTTCCTGGCCTATAGTGGTGAATATTTTTCCCTTATAATACTAATTCAATTACACTGATATAAAAAATATGTATAATGTAAACAACAAAAAAAAAACGGCAAGACATGATAATTTGGAGTATCATACTGGAATTGTGGAGAATTGGAAGTTTGGTCGAAAGGGTTTATATGTGTGATATTTTGAAGAAACCAGCAGATAATTTGCATGAATTGTGGATAAATGCCACTTTCGTACCAGAAACCTGGATGGAGGTGCCTATTTTGAGGTTTCTGGTGGAAAATACAGTTCACATCCCCATTGTCAAAGTATCTTTCAGAGGGGTGTTTTTTTCGGAGGTGCTGATGCACAGTTATTGGAGCACGAACAAAGAATTGCCTGGTTTTAGAAATGTTGTGTGTGTTGCCATTTGTACAAAAGGAAGCTGGGGAAAAAAAAAAGAAATACACATTTATTTTAGCACGGCATACACGGTGATAGAGACACTAGTTGCGAAATGCTGGTTTTATAAGTATAATTCATTATACTTTCTTTGATCCAGTGTTACAAATTAGGGTCACTCGTGTCAGGAGATTAAAACCTTTTTGTCTCTCTTTGATATCAAACTATTCTTTCCCAGTCCCTTTTATCTTGCAGAGCAGCGCTGAATTCCACAGCATCTTTGTGAGTTCGCTCGTGTTATTTGCAGCAATCATTTAATTGGTTTTAGAACTAATATTATTTAGTCATACTGTCATTTGCCACAACAGAGGCTCTTTAATACCCTAAAAATGTTGAGAGGCTCCAGCGTTAGCCGGGTAAGAGAGACCACAAAGAATTTGGGACCACGGTGGGAGTGCAAGGTAGCTAAATTGGATAGAAAAAGGGGAAAAAAAATAAAAAAAATAAAAAAACCCCATACAAGTCAAAGTAAGATTGTACATCAGAAAAACTACAGCAATCTACTGAAAATTAGTAGATGATAGTCATGAGTAGCTTACAGTGAACCACGGGTACCAGCTTCCCTGAAGCACAGAAATAGGAACTTGGAGAAGCTTGTAAAAGGTGTCCTCAGGGAATCTTCCATTTTTTCACTATGATACCTTTAATCCTAGAATTGTCAAGCCACATGGAAAATAATAGGACTGAATGGTTCAGTCAGTTAAAAGTTAGTATTATTTCTTTTATCAAAAATATTAGGTCTTTCTGTGTTTCTGGAGCTGTTAGGATTTGTATAAACTTTAAAACAAGTGAAGTCAAGTATTGAACTTGTATTGCTTTTTCTTTTTTTTAATTTAAGATCGTTATCTGTGACTAAGCAGACTCTATTCAACAGAAAGAAAGAACTTAAAGCCAATATTTTTTAACAGCTGATTCAACGAGAGGCAGAAGTGAAGAATAAGGTAACTGCTGTGGCGTTGACAGACTCTGTTCACAATGTGTGGCACCAAGAAGCTGGGAAAACTATTCGAGAGTGGATGCGAGAGGTGAGGCCAGGTGGTTGTTTTTTTTTGAAGAGTTTGGGTATATTCATCTGTATATGGCTCTATAAACACGTCTTTATCTGCTGACCTCTTCCATTTCTTCAGGGTATGAAAGACAGAGCTTTACAGGAGCAGGGAAATCGCGTGCCCATACCAGCCCCTAAAATAACTGTGATTAAAGCCGGTTCTGAACTTCAAAGATAGCAACCAAAATAATAAGAATCAAGCCCAGTTTCTCCCTGCTGCCCAGCTGTGGAGACACAGATAGCACGGCAGCCCACAGGCTGCCCCAAATCTGGAGCAGAGCTCCTTGGCTTGACCTGGCAATGGTGGAAAAGCCCCTCCAAAGCTCTTCGTGACTCAGTCCCATGGTTTGCCCGGGTGGCAAAGGATCCTTTCCCTCAGTCGTAATTACTTCCAAATTACTTCCAATTACTTCCAAAGTGCTCTGAAGTTCTCTGATGGAAAGTCACAGTATTTGGCTGCTGTACCACCACCAACAGCTGGTTGGTCAGAAATCAACTGGTGAGTTGGTTCATGGCCATCATCACCAACTTCCACCCCCGGGTGAAGGAGGATGCCATGCATCCATTATTCTTTTAATACTTAGGTATGGGGGTGCTGAGATTTTAAAAATCACATTTTTTTTAAAGCCAGACCAACTAAGCTCCCATTTATGAGTCTCTTCCTCGCCAGATCAGGCTCACGTCTGTGTTTAATTCGTTCCCCTTGCTAAAAAAAATTACATGCACATGGCAATTTTAAACTGGTCGCATCCTGAACTTTTTGTTAGATTTGGCTTTTTCCCATGGATTTAGCAAAACTTTCTGTCTAGGCTGCCTATTCCTGACTTAACCTTACAGTTTTATAGGCCGTGACTGATGGGAATAGAGAATCACCTGGGATGCAGCCTGACAGCTCTGACTTAAATGTTAAAAATATAAAGAATGGTAACCCCTACAGGCTCTGTCAGAAAAATCCCCATTTTCTTTATGGGAAATCAAAACCTTAAAATATATGTTATGTAGTAAAACTGAAATTTTAAATCCTGTAATTTGAATCTGACAACTCCATTTTTCTTTAAGCATTTAGTCTGAATAAGACAAGTGCATTACCTTTAATTTCATTTGCAGAAAGTAGATCTTAAAGAATAAGTTAAATGATTAATGGCCTAAAAAGTGGATGGAGTGTCATAACTTACATTAGCATTGAAAATCTCCTATAAGAAAGAAGAATTTTACATATGTGAAGTGTGGCTGAGTGGTATTAAGACTAGCATATCACCTGGATATCTCTTACTTTAATCAGGTTTAAGGCTACTGGTAAAATGAATAATAATTAAAATATACACCTAATCGCTGCCTGTCTGTAGGGCTAATTGCTGTCATTGAAAGAATGAATTGTTAAAAAAGTAATTCTTCATTGGAGCTATCTCTCCTGTATCATTGGTGGCCTATTTTTAGTACCTATAGAAGTCATGATTTTTGAATTTATTAGGAGCTGTGATGAATGATAAAACAAATCATCCATTTACATATCTTGACACTGCTTTCGAGAATACTTATTTCTTACAGGCAAGTGTCACATTGTATATAAAAGCTGGTTAATTGTGTGCTAATCTTCTGTATTATCTCCAGCTCTCTGATGTAGTGTTCTATCTGTAGTTAATATTAATTTTACTTATTTCAAATGAATGTAATACTTCATAAAAATTCTACTTCTTTTATAATTTCTACCATCTTACATTTGCAATTTCACATTCAGCTGTTAATTAAAATTATACATGCAAATTGTAAAATGTATAATGCTTTACTACTGCAAACCTTAAAGCCTTTGTGAAATACTTCCATTTTAACCATTTTTTACTAAAAAAAGTTACATTACTGGGTAGTGTGTTTGTTTTCTTTTTTTTTTTTTTTTTTCCATCGAGTTCAATAGTTTCATTGATCTACTGTTTCTTACAAAAATCTGCCATGCTTTGTGAACTTCACTTTCTAATCTCATACAGCAACCCTTCCTTTATGTTGTTCCTGCTCTCCCTGGTCCCAGAACAGTAGGGTTGCCTTGACAAATCTATTCAAAAGCCATTCCTCGCCCTTTATTGGTGGGGACTGAAGCCTTTGAAATTCTCTCCTCACTGCAACACAGCTGACATCTTCTTCCAGACAGAATGAATTAAGGAAATACAATAAGACACTTGATCTACCAGTCAAGGATCTTTCCACAGTGAGGACGGACTCCATGGTGCACAACTAGGGCAGCAAGCATCTACAAATACACAATACATGCTTGTTTACCCGAATAGCAATCGTCCATTTTTAACAATCATGATTGATGGGATGATTTTTTAGAAATCTGTCTGAAAATTCATTGGGTCTTTCCAAAAAGTTATGCATGTGGGTTGTTTTTTTTTTTTTTTTTTTTTGGTGGTTTGTTGTGTTTTTTTTTTTTTTTTTTTGCTTTTCCCCTTAATGAAGTTAATCGGAAAGGGAAAACTCAGATTTGTCATAAGGGAGGCCATCCTATAAAAAAAGTAGTTGCTTTACAATTAAATCTTCAATTCAGTAGGTTTTGTGCAGTTTTAGCATATTTTATTAAAAGCATGTTATTTCATGCTGTAATTCATCAACTTCTCTGCATAGATAGCATTTGGAGCAAAACATTTAAAAAACTCATGGTAAATTCACCCTACTCAGAGGTTCAGGAGTGAAAGGTAAATGTAAATGCTTCCTGAAGATAATTCCCCAAAGACCAGTATTTGCATTTTTAAATGTTCGTGCCCACTTCTTTTCAGCTATATTTCCCATTATTTGGATATTAATCTGCCATCGTGGTGGCTTTCATTTGGTTGCAATCTGTGGTTTTGTGGTTTCACAACCATTCTTTCCACAGTGTGACCCATCAAAACGCCCTGAAAAATACAGATTTCTGCGTGTTGGCAGGGGAGCAGGCTCAGTGCTTGTACCAACACCTATTTAATGACCACAGAAAGGAGAAGCTTAAAACTCAGGCAGTGGTTGGTCCAAGCACCTACTTTAGTCCCCTGGAGCTCAAAGCAGCACTTAAAGACGTGCTATTAAGCACATTGCAGACCTCCTGAACTACAGTCTTACTCTTTTTACTTATTTAGAATGAAACTACAATATTTCATCAACAGTCAGTGTCAATGAGTGTAGTTTACCTTCCAGTCCCTGTTGAGGCTGCTACGTGAGTTAGTTTGAGTATTTTGACGTGGTCATTGGCCTTACTTACAAAGTTGGTACGTATTTTTCCTCTGGTTTTTGGGTTTTGTTGGGTTTTGGTTGGGTTTTGTTGGGGTTTTTTTTTGGCTTACCCCAAAATTGCCACTCTGCTCTTACAGAACTGCTGCAACTGGGTGTCTAGCTCCGAGCCCCTGGACACCTCGGTGGAGTCCATGCTGCCCGACTGTCCCCGCGTCTCTGCAGGTAGGTCAGTGTGTTTGTGTCCAGCCAAGCACCCAGGAACTTCTCTGTTATTCAAAAATCTGCTTCTGAATGCTTTTTAACCCTTCCACCACAAGATATGGTTGATAGCATATGGCTGCTGCCTTTCCACAATGTTAATATATATATATTTTTTTTGGCTTTGTGTGGGGTTTCCGTTCTGTTGTCTACTTGTAGCTTGTATTTTTCTCACCTTCTTTTCTCTTTGGCTTTAAGTAGTTGGTGACGTTGTAGGTAGGAGCTTAAGAAAAATTAATAGTGCTGATGAAAACTGGGAAATTTGTTATAGATCCTTGAATAAATATCTAATTTTATGTAGCCAGAAGGTTCTAAAGCAGTACATTAATGAAAGCTAAGTGCAATAAGACACTTCCCTGAATCCCTCATCAACAAAAGTCTAGTTTATGTAGCAAATTATCTACAGCGTCCAAGAATCTTGATGTGAGATTTCTGTTGTTTTGGAAATACTCCGCTACACTCTTTTCATTAATGAGTCATGAATCATAAATCATAAGGAGCACATGAAATAATGCACAGAGACTTTTGTTAATGTGTAATAATTCCAGAAAGTAGACGTAGTTGTCAATGTAACAGGAAAATCTCAAATCTCTGTAGGAAAGTAATCTAAAATACATAAAGCTGTTACTGAACTTTCATGTTTGATTATCAGATTTCCTAAAAGCCATAGGTAGCGTATTTCTGTAGAATATAAAATCAGGTTCAAAGGAAGACACAGCCTATACAATATTAATTTAAAAGCTGGAACAGTGTTTGACCTTGCTCCGTGAGACGCAGTTGTTCGTTTGACAAGTCGGAGATTCGTATCTGCCTGGATTTGTGAGGTTGTTAATGAGACCTAACCTTGCAGATGAAATTCGGTTTATTAGGCGGGGGGGGCGGGTATTTTTAAGGCTTGGAACACGTCGCGGTACTTTGTTTGAGAGAGCTCACAACAACCAGAGACCTGTTTTTGCTGTGGGTTGGGACCCGACCGTGCAGATCATCAGCTCTCTACAGGCACAGTGCGGTAGCGTTGACGTTGCTCCTCGGTGCTGAGGGACATGAAATATTACTAGGATTTTCACAGATTCAACATTCGTTTACCAACTTTTTGCTCCCGGAGGGGAGAGTACTGCAGCTTCAGAGAAAAATATGTCGTTCAGTGGTAGAATTCTTTAAAACAGGATTAACTTTCCGTCTCCGACCTCTGTGTTGCTGTTGTGCAAGAGCGTGGTGTTAGTTCAGGTAAAGAGGGGCTTGGGAAGCAACCAGTTGGTATTTACGGTGTGCTTGCCCATGCTGAAAGTCCTCTGTCTGAGCTCCTCTTCTCTATTCATCCTACGTAAATAATGTACAAAGGTATTCGAGAAAATAAATCCCAAGTGCTATTTGAAAAATGGGTGCTTGGATAGGGGTGTGAATAAGTCTTGATTTTGCGTTTATGTTGAGGATGGGTCATTATCATAGAATCATAGAATCACAGAAGGGTTAGAGTTGGAAGGGACCTTAGAAATCATCCAGTTCCAACCCCCCTGCCCTGGGCAGGGACACCTCCCACCAGACCAGGTTGCTCCAAGCCCCATCCAGCCTGGCCTTGAACCCCTCCAGGGATGGGGCATCCACCACTTCCCTGGGCAACCTGTTCCAGTGTCTCACCACCCTCACAGCAAAGAATTTCTTTCTGGTATCTAATCTCAATCTCCCCTCTTCCCATTTAAAACCATTCCCCCTTGTCTTGTCACTGCACTTCCTGACAAAGAGTCCCTCCCCAGCTCTCCTGGAGCTCCCTCCAGACACTGGAAGGCTATTCAGATATTGGTAGGCTATTATGGCCATGACTTTCATGCTCCACTTAATGAACTCCCAGCTACACTGAAGTCTTTGGCAGAAGAATTAATTTAAATGGGGTAGGATTTCAGCCTGTAGAAGTTGTAAAAGTTGGCTATTTGTATTTCACGCGTGCATGCAATGCTGCTGGATTAAGATTACTGATTTTTGTCAGAGATTTTGATTTAAATGGAAGCTAACTGTTGCCAGCTTGGTTCTTTATAATATAAAGAAAGTTTAAAATAGTATAGCTTTATGTGAGTACTGCTGAATTATCAATTTGCTCATCTGTTTTTGTTTATATTTCCCATATCGGCGTCTTGTATCGACAACTGTAAGACATTTATAGAGGAACGAGTGAATGATTCCTACAGTGTGTTTATACGAGCAATGGCATAAGCCTGCATTAGTGTAATCTGTAATAAATGTATGAAATGCTGCTAGAGGTAGGAGCATTAGTATTTAATGCGAGAGATTTTATTTCACTCTTTTCCTGAGAATTGCAGTACTGAAGTAGCCCACATTCAAATACTGGCAGCATTGCCCTTGGTATTTCGCTGAATGACAGTGAGAGCAAGCAGAGCAACCAGACATTTATTTATTATTTTTTTTAAATAAGCCTTTTGCAGAAGGAAGATTCACTTCTCTTTTCTGCTTGGAACCCCATATTTTATCCATGTTTGCACTGAGAAGTAAATTCGGGAATAATCACCTCCCGGTCACGTATCAAGAGCCAGTTTTTCTGAAAAGGGACTGGTATTCAGCCGTTCAGCACACTGGGATTTACAGGCAGCCCCAGTTTGCCTGTGAGCGGTGCCTGCTTCAGACTGTGCCGCAGCCTCTTGCTTGCATTTCCCTCAAAAATCACTAGAGAGAAATATATAGCCATCAAACTGGAAAAAAAACAACTTGCGTTTCCAGATAGAGTTGTTCAAGCTTTTGATTAGAGCATTATTAAGTAATTAAAATGTTTGCCATAATTCATTCATGTCTTAGTTACAAAAACGGAATGAATACACTTTAATAATTAAACGTTGTGGGCGTGAGAACAGCAACAACAGAGGGAGAGCAAGCCATGAGAAATAAATTCTCTGCCCTTGTGGCAAGAGGTGGGACACTGTGAAGGTCCCACCTTCATGGTCTTTTCTCCACATCTCAAGGATTTGGTTGCATGCTGGTGTCATAGCGTAACGTCTTCCTGTGACGGGTTATCATCACGCCAAAGGGGTTGTCCTGTAAAATTTCCCATTTATCATAGTTTTCCTGTGTGGTATGTGTAATCTTGAAAGTTGAGAGACATGTCTCCCAGCTCTAACGTCTTCTGTCAGACCTCCTTCAGGCTTCCATCAGGAGCTCCTGTTGAGGCTATCAGGCCAACACTATCCATCTTCTTACCCTTACCATATTTTTCCTACAAGAACAAAGCATTCTTCCTCATTAGAGAAGGGTCCACCACTCTCCCTCTGTCATTTATCTTTGACCAAGAGCAGGGATGTCCAGCATCATTCCCCTCTGCTCCTTCTCTGGCTCTCTGGTTTCCAGCTTTGGCATTGCACAGGTAAGGTCCTCAGCTGTGACACTGTCATCTCGATGGCCTGGAGGAGCCCTCTGTCAGTCTTCAGTTAGTTAAAAAAAGTCTCTCCTACCCTCTTTGCTGTCAGCCCTCATTAAGGACCTCTTTTAGACCTGAGGTCATCTTCTACCTCAGTCTTAATTCACCTGTTTAATGGAGTCAGAGCAGAAGACCTCTCTTCTGTCTCGGAGGAGATAGACCCATTTCCTGTCTAAGGCATGAGCAAATGTAGGGTGGGGAAAGTTGAAGACTTTAAAAGTAATAACTACATTAAAGATCATCACATAATTACAGAAGAGATGGGGAGGGACTCTTGATCAGGGAGGGGCCATAGGACAAGAGAGGAGGGTTTGACCCTGCAAGAGGGGAGATGGAGCTGAGCTGTGGGGAAGAACTTGTTTGCTGTGAGGGTGGTGAGAGCCTGGCCCAGGTTGGCCCGAGAAGCTGTGGCTGCCCCATCCCTGGAGGGGTTCAAGGGCAGGTTGGAGGGGGCTTGGAGCAACCTGGTGTGGTGGGAGGTGTCCCTGCCCAGGGCAGGGGGTGGCACTGGATGGTCTTGAAGGTTCCTTCCAACCCAAACCATTCTATAATGGGAGTCTTACAGCTTAGGAGACTGGAAGTCAACTTGTAATTTGCCACAGACAATGGGACAGATGTTTTTTGTATCATGTTACTGGTAATCATTGCTGTAGCTTGCTTCATGTCTCTGAGACCTTAATGTCATTTCTCCTGGTTCTGGAGCTGGTAGTTCATGAGCCCTTTGGGAACCCATCCTACTGGAGCAGTCGCTGGGTGGGACTACCTGAAAGAGAGGATGGGAGAAAGTAGATCCGAGGATCTGTGTCCGTCTCTACTGCTTTTCAGGAATTAAATGACTTTGATTTCAGTGTAGTGGCCTGAGCATTAGCCCAGGAAAGGCTTTGTGGTAAATTTTGTCGGGTAAACTTGGCCTTTGTTTTCCTGAATACAAATATTTTGGAGTGCCTCACAGGGAGCACCTTGGTGTTTGAGTAAGATACATTTCTTAGCTCATGTGTTCCTGCCAGTGAAAGCTTTTTTTTTAGGAGAGAAGATTAAACTTTGCAGTATTTTGCCGAAGTGGATATGCACCAACACTCATTTACATAATCAAATAAAAAGGAGTTATTGTAACATTAGTAAAATGAATTGCCTAATCAAATCCTGTTAAAGCCTTTCTAGTTGACCCCCAAAATCACTAGTTATTCTTTTAACAGTTGCAGCCATTGTAGTTAAAACATTGTAAAATAAGGAAATTATAACATCAAAAGACAAACAAGATGACACAATGGAATGAAACGTTGACAGTAATCAAGAAAAGCTCTATTCACGGAAGAGCCTAGACTTGAATATATGTCTCTGTAGTAGGGAAAAAAAGTGCAGGAATTAATTCATGTAGCTGAATAAAGTGATCTCGGGCTGGCGGAAGAAAAACAAACTCTTTAATTTCAGGGGACAGGTATGATCCATGCTGGTGGTGCTCTGAACAGTATCCTGAGTGAATCCTTGCTATTTCCTAGAACCAGACATCAAGATTGACTCTATATGGTATATAAAACATTCA